TTTAAATATGTGATAAAAGTATGCAATTATCATGTTTTATATATATATAAAATTATAATTATGTATTATAATTGTGTGCAGTATAATATTTTTACAACGTCCATTGTCATATACTGTTATTTGTATTCATTGAAACATGTTTTAAAATTGTTCTTTCTATAACTTCTCTAACTTTACTGATATCGTATAAAGTTATCAATAATTAACTATTGCTGAAATAATGTTTAAATTGTAGATTTTAGATTTTCCAATTGCTTACCTTATGTGTGTTTGTAGAATATTTTATTTATTTGATATAATTTTAATATATAATTTTTACGAAGATATTTTGATTTTTAATAGAAGAATATAGGAAAAGCAAATTTATATTATTTGAGTCAAGTAAGAAAATATCAAATTTCGATTTATTTTAATGTAAATTATTCTTATTGAAGAGCTACCTAAAAATTGGGCAAAATAGACGTAGATTATTATATACAATTTAATAATTTCAGTATATAATTACAATGAAATTTACATCTATTTCTATATATATTTAATACTTTGAATATATTTTTATTGCCTGTACGCCAGACTGTGAAAAATTTAAGACATCACACTTTTTTATATAATTTATCATCTATAATGTATTCGTAATATTAATATTGTCTTTAAGAATATTATTTTATACCGAATATTTTTTTACATTTGTTAATCAAAAAATATGCGGTTAAAAAAATATATTTATTTGATAGATATACATAATATGAATATATATGGAATTTTTTCCAACGAGTGTAAATAAGTAAAATTAAATAAAATTGCGAGTTTCTGCTGTTTAAAGTGCGATTAAGAATGAGGGACCAATGAATGAAATTAAGCGAATTCGTTCATTATATAGGAAAGGCATTTGAAAAATACTGTATTATTGATAATGTTCAGATATTAGAATGTTAAATTCTATCCTTTAGAATACTAATTAGTGTATTATGTATTAGCATATATAAGTGAGTAAAGAAAAAACTAAGTTTTATTTCACTAAACCTATCTATCTAATTGAGACATTTTTATCTTTAATTATCCGACACATGTTGAGACTATTTATTAATGCATTGTAATTTTTTAAATCATTTAATTATATCATTGTTGTAGAAATATTATTAAAAGTGCCAATATTAGTACTTTTTCATATAAGAATACATCATGTATTTCGTTAAAATATCTAATTATTATACAAATTTATTATATAGTTACTTATTTCGCTGTCTTTCTTCCTCAATTTTATTTCAGCAACGTAGTTGCATCATTATCATATAAATTAAACAACATAGATCCAATACTAATCTATATGAGTTATTTTTTACTTTTATAGCAAGATACAATTCTTGCCTATCAAAGTTTAATAATGCGTTTAAATGTGGATATTAAATATATTTTGGTTTTGATATGTTTTTAAATATTACAAAATATCATTAAATTATTTATTAATTATATTAACTATGCATTTTAATGAAATCATTTTATGCTTTTATTTCTTTATTACTATATCTATCTAGATTTAAAAAACTGTGGAAGGGAATATAAAGAATGCCGAATATAAGCATATGAAACATAAAATAGATTAATAAAATAGATTAATAGATAAATCATAATTAATAAAAAAATTAATTATACATAAATCTAAGTTTTCTCTTTTATAGATCTGTGTCTTTCAAATTCTTTATTATTTATAAATTGGAAAAAATATTTTTCTTTTCTCTCATGAGTAGCATGATAGTATGCTCGAAAACAAAAGATTTTATGTAATTACTGTTACATTGTAAGTGTATATTTTATATTTTTTCCTATGACTTTACCATTGTGAAAATTTATAAATTTGAATAGTAACAAGCAATAATGTATCTTTTAAAATATTTTACCAAGAGTTTAAGATTTTAAAATATAAAATGGTTATGTAAAAATAAAAATATTTTGTGCATCTATTTGTAATAAATAGTTGATATTTTATTCATAGGATGTGCATTTATTGAGATGTGATGTATCTTTATTCCTGTTTAATAGTTATACTATGTTACGTTAAAGTTTATTAATTATCTCTCTCCTCTCTTTCACCAACTGCACAAAAGAACTACACATACGTAATTCTCTGGATAATATATATTGTAAACATTATAAATTATTTTAAATGAAAATTTTATCTGCAGTTACTTTTTTGATGCTATTATACCTTCCAATTGAGTCTGAAAACAAATTATAATTGATTATGTATATAATACAATTATATCATTGATTTATGTGGTTATAACGTTTTACAATATAAATAATACAGTTTAACTCATAATGATTTAGTAAATTTATATAGAATAATCAAATTGAAAATACATTTGTAAAGCATATTTTGCAATTATATTATTTCATTTTATGCACTTAAATATTTATGTTTTTATAGCTCTCTTATGTAATTAATCTCTTCTAAACAATTAGATAAGAGACGATAATTAAAATACGAAAAAAATCTAAACACAATTATTTTGAAATGCTTAAAATACAGATATATATTTTATATATATATATATATATATATATATACATATATACATATATACAGAGCTACATAAATGCAAATATCTAAGATATTGCAATATCTGAACATTTATAACGTAAATGTCCCGTACTACTTCAAAATCGAATAAATATTTTTACCTTTAATTGTATATTTGTTTTTTTAAGGAATTGCACTTCCTCCGTATGTTTTTTTTCCTCCGCTTCCCTTAATTCAGCCGATCTTTTCTCAGATTGATCATACTTGAGTCGTAATTCCGCAACTGTTCTCTCCAGCTCAATTTTTTGTAGTTTCAATTCCTCGGCTGTATTAATCAAATTTTCTTTGCCTTGCTCGGCCTGTAAAAATGACATCTTTCATCAACGATTGTATGGTAGTAAATTTTATAAACTGCAATAGTAAAAGGTATTCTGCACGTGTCTTATATATAAACGCGAAAAAATGTGTATGAAGATGTGTATTAGAAAGATAGGTACTTGCAGTGCTTTACGCATCCCGAAAGCGATACTACTTTGATACAATGTCTGATACGCAGCTAATGTCATTTTGATTTCGTCTCGTACTCGCAGTAAAAGTAATCCACGTTCGGCGCAGTTTATAGTTACTTGTCGTATTAATTCATCTGAGAAAGCAAGTAATAATATACGATATTATATTTACTCAACCATATATTTCAATTTAGATATAAAGCTTATGAGTACGTATGTACCGAAACATTGTGTATAGAGCTGCCTACGAACAGGACAAATACCAGTTTCTCTGGCCTGCCTTTGTTGCAATCGCATATCAAGTTGCTCTTGTAAATTTATCACATCTAATCTCGTTGCAGGAGTACTCGATACCTAAATAATATATATCGCATACGTCGATTATTGCATGTTGCAGGATTGAAAAGGTAGCTTTAAGAATGTATTTAATTTTACACGCTGAGTCCATATCTGGCCATCCTCCTCCCATTCTTTCGACGGTAAAATTCTATTTAAAATTTCGGTGGTTTCTCGTCGTGCATCAGCTGGAGCTGAGATTGTTGGAATTTTGCAAGCAGCTATACCAATTTTCGCTGGTTCCTTACGTATCTATTGTTTAATTAAAAAATATTTATAGAAATCAATGCTTTAAACAGTCTAGCTGGATCTTAAATGTTTGTATGATTCTGTGAATTTATATATTACACATGTAGTCCTTTAAAACCTCGAGCTGAAAATAATTTTTTTAGTCTTGAAACGCTAATTCTATTAAACTATCGCAGTAATATCATGAGTTAAATTGACTAACAATTTAACAATTTGCTTTTTTGCATCTTTAAACGATCTTAATAATACTTATTAAAATCTATAAATAATTAATTCTTATTGTGAAAAAAATAATTACCTCGGCCGGGAGTCGAATTCGAATCTCTTGCTTTCCAGTTAAGTGTCTTAAGCCTTTAGACCACCAAGGATTTAATATGTCACTCAGTATTATTAAGATCACGTTGTTAAATTGATAGTCAATTTAACTCGTGATATTACTGCAGTTTAAAAGAATCAGGGGCTGCGTACAATAAAAGGAACAGGGAACAGAGAACAGAGAATAAGAATTTCAACCTATCAAAAATCATGTATTGTGGAATACACAGTTTCTGATAGGTTGAAATTCTTATTTTCTGTTCGCTATTCCTTTTATTGTGCGGACCCTCTTAACGTTCCAAGATCGAAAAATCATTTTCGATTTCTAAAGAACTACATATACGTAGTATATAAATTCACACAGACTCATACAAGTTTTTAAGATCTAGCTAAATCTAGTTTAAGCGTTTAAGATATTGATTTCTATAGTTCGTATTATCACACATATATACTATAATATATTATATTGTAAAAAATATTTAGTGAATTAAAGTAAGCAGATATTATGTATTTATTGCTCTATATATTTGCATATATCCATGCAGAATTATTTTTTAAAAGAAATCGTAATTTATATAAAAACATAAAATGGTAATAAAAATTTGTCGAACCTTCTCTGGATGAGTCGTAACCGAAACTGGAGTATCATACTTGACCAGTGTGTCCGTAGCAGGAATTGAACGTTCTTTGATCGCTGTCGCCATTTGCTTAAATAGAGGATTTACGTAGAACGTGACTATAAAGCGCTATTATTGTATTATTACACGTTGAATATTATTTATCGCGAGTTACACGAGTATATAAGCAATAACTTCCATTCGTAAAGTTGGTAGCTGAAAAAAACGTCGTCATGGAAACATTGATGCACCGCATCATCGCTCACAGCTCACAGCCGGCTTTTACCTTTACTTTATCGCCTTAAAACGTCGGTCGTTCGATGGCTCGATTCGTTTCATTTTATACCAAGAGCAAGCTTACTGCGAGCACAAAATAAGAGCCGGTTTCAATATTCAATTTTTAATTAAAATGATATGTAAGGTGTATTTACGTTTACCTCAAAGTTAAATATTTTGCGACAGTTATGATAGATGTGTATCCTGTTTCTCTCGTTTATATAATTGTGAAAAATGGAATGAATATAGAAATGTACACGAAGGTTTTTCGTAAATAATGATTTAATAATTTATCATTTAAAATAAAATTAGGTTTGTGTGTGTGTGTGTGTGTGTGTGTGTGTCAAATTTATAATTAATTATTTCTAAAAAAATATCTATACAAATATTTGCACGTAAATTTAAGTCATCCAAGACGAGATTTATAGCTGCAATGCATGAGATGTTATTATACAATGTTATTAGTATTTTTCATAGTATTTTATATAGATGTGATTACTGTACAATGGTATATCTAAATCATAAATCTCTTATACTTTGTTGTTATTATTATTATGATTATTGTTACAAATATTTTAAAGATAAAGGATATTACATATAATTTTACATACATGCAATTAATAATTAAATAACTGCATTTAATTGTAAAAAAAAATGATCGTTCAATTCATTTGTACTCAAATCATCCATATCATCATTGCTTTCATCGAAAATATCTTGAACAGTGCCTGTTACAGTTTCTGTACCGTCCATCACGCTTCCTACACAAAACGTTGTATGCTCCGTATGATTATTTGTATTTACTTCCACATCATTTTCCATATGCTGAGTATCATTCTCTTCGTCTGTATTTAAATATATTGTTTCCTGAATTTTATTGTTACTTTTACTGGTATCTCCAATACTGTTATTCGGGAGAGTTTGCAAAACGGATAATGTTGGAAGTGGAAATCCATAGTTTAACAATTTTTTGTATCCATTTGTACCACAAATTTCTTTAATATCTACTGCCATTGTTAGAATTTTTTCGGAATAGTTTTCCTTCGTACAGTCTACCATTATGTCATAAAATTCACTCGTACTTCCATCCAAGAGTTTTCTTCTTCTCATAAAAGTTTGCATATTTAACATTTTTCTTCTATATGTATTTGTATTTTTCTCTGCTCGCTCGAGGTATTTCGAAGCCTTATCCAATTTCCAATTGAGTTCTTTTATTTGTTTATCTCTTTGCTTGATTTGATTTTCTAGCTGTCTCTTTTGTTGACTTTCGATAGTTATGGTTTTCATTAACTTTTTATTCATCTCTTCCAAATTACTCATTCTGTGTGATAAATCATAAATCAACTTTTGTCTACTATCCATTTTTTTACAGCTTGTTGAAGATGATGTGCTATCCGTACTTTTATTCAATTCATTCATCTGTTTTTCCATTTTCTTTGTTCTTGCTTTGAGCATTAAATTTTTATTTTGCCATTTTTTCTCCAAGTCCTTGAGCAAAATAAGTTGATTAGTTAATTGCCCGATGATAGTCTCTTGCAGTTTCACTTTTTGTTGTAATTTCTCATATTCACATTTATTAGCATTATCCATCGTTGGTTGTTCGATAATGCTATTAATCGTGGCATTATTCACTTCTGGATCCTTTTCTTCATCCATATTTGATGACGGTAATCTTGTAGTTAAACATTCATCATTTTGTAAACTTGACAAAGCATCTGACATTTGATCGTTGTTTCGTGATGCAATACTTGTAATACATGGCGAAAAAATATCATTGCACTTATTTATAGAATTTGTTTCTAATGGATAATCATTTATTGTAATAATAGAAGTAACAGACGCATTATTTTCTTGTTGTAAACAAGTATTATTGTGCTCTTGAATAGTAAAATCTTGTGTATCTTTAAATAAATCTTGCATAATATCAACTACATCCTCGCGATCGCCTGTAACTTTGACTGTGAATTTTGTTGTATCTGATATAGCACTGTCTTTATTATATTCCATAGTTTCGGATATATTCAGTTTTGTTGATTCATTTTCTACTTCCACATCCAGTATCACTGTAGAAGTATCACTGTTAAGCATAGAATTTGTATCCTCAAAAGATGTATCTTGAACTGATGGTTTTATAGATTTCATGATTTCTTCTCGAGTTGCTTCTTCACAGTTTATAGCAGTCCTTGTATTTGACGTAACATATAAATTTTCTCTGCTGGTAGTGTTTTCTATACATTCAGTTTCAGTGAGTTCTTTATCATTAGTAATACTATCGATATTTGTAGTATGTTGATTCTGTTTATCATTCTCATTAGTTCCATTGTTAGAAAATGTATATCTAGGAACGCGAACAAATTCTTCACTGCTTTCACTACCAAAAATAATCTCGATGTTGTCTCTATTATCGGTAAACATATCTCCAATTTCATTCCTCGACGAATATTTATAATTTATACTTTTATGAAACAATGGCTGCGTTACCGACTCTTCTAGATTTCCTTTCCACTTCGTAGGAATTGAATTTAGTTTTTCTACATTAGATGTACTCATTTCTTCACGACCATCACAAATTTGCTTTAATTTCTCCTCTATCTCGTCATAATCATCATTGAAGATATCATTTTCTTGTTTTGTTTCTATTTTTAAATCCTCACTCTGGTTATCAGTTGAATTTGTCTTTACTATAAAATTACTAATAGACGTTTTATTTTCTGTACTTGTTTGCTTTTCAGTATCATTTGCTTTAATATCACATTCTATCTCCATACTATCATCTGAAATTATAATACTTTTTTGTTGAAGATTATTCGTAATATCTATATAATGTCCATGAGATGCTTGTTGTTTATTTTCTATCTTTTTTGGAAAATAATTTACTTGCTGATGTATAAGCGATTGTATAGACGACTTATCCTGTAAATCAGAATCTTTTTCTTCCAAGTGACTGGACGAATGATCAGAATCATTTTCTAAAAATTCCACCATGTAATAGTCTTCATTCTTCATATTAGCTAACTTGATGCGCTTCTTGGCAGATTTCCTGGTTGACGTTACGGTAAATATAGATGGAACAGCATTCTTTTTTAGTCTGATTTTACCACTTTGAGTAATAACCCATTCCTGAGGATCAAAATGTACGTGACAGAGAAAGGAATTGTTAGATGGTTCCCAATCGGCCCTAGCAACACGATCCTGCCAAACTTGTCTCAATGTTGGATCCCGAGGAAAACATTTCATAATATATCCTTTTTCACTACGATTGTTACAACCAATAGCTGCACAACCTGGCATTTTTCATCAGTCAAATACGGATAACCTGCAAATTTGGAATAACATCAAAATTATAGCATAACAGCACAGAAAAGAAACAACAATATAATTATACTTCAAGAAACGGCAAAAAAAAGTACATATTAAATATATATTATACTTTCTCTCATCTTTTTCCATGTAAAATATGAAAATAGATTTTATTATAAAAACGAAGGAAAGTGCAACTGAAATGAACAGACTTTCAATTGTATACACTTTGACAAATTATTTTTATAAACTCTACATGTTATATCGTTTGACGATATTTAAAAAGAATTTAGAATTCTATCTTCTTACCTCGATCTCTTCTTTTGTACCGTTAATTTTATTCCCCTTTCAAAGCAAGCATATATATCATGTATTTCTCAAAAGGTAACAACATCGCTCGTACACATTATTAAAATCGGGAGGAAATTTTTCAATTTGGACGCGCAAATAATGTGTATATTGTCAAGCTTTATCACGGAGTACCTAATATTTGGTTGGATTCTACGTGTCGCCTACTGGTCGCGTATGTGCATCAATGTGCATACATACGCCGCAACATGGCTGCGCCATTACTCCGTAATTATTTTGTAACCAATAAGATTTTGGGTGCGGTTTATTCTAGTTTATTTAATGCTGCCAAATAATTGATATGTATGTAAATGTTAATTATGTATTTATTCCGTGAGTTCACAAGTTTTAATCAATACCTTACTCCCACACTTTTGTCAAGTGATTTTGAAATAATATTATTAAATAGGTATATTAGAATAAGAAAGAAGATGTCTATTGACCTAATCTTTTCAAATAGGTTAAGTTATTTTCGTATAAATGTATGTGGTAAACACCTAAGATATATTGTAGCAAAAAGATAACACGATGAATAAAAATACTCGTGAAACAACGCCAGGTGATGGCTTACGATCATTACGGAGTACTACATTATTCCGTGCTGTTAATTTCGAGTTATATGTTAAACCAGTAAGATTACAAAAACTGATAAACATGTTGAAATTGATATTGTTTAATATTGTCATTAATAAAATGTCATTTGCAGAACAAAACCATCATGATTCTTGGTATCATAGCAATGTTAAGTTGCTCTGGATATATATTTTATATGAATACTAATGAAAAGAGGAACGATTATCATATTATGGTTAAATCAGACGAAACTGTGGAATTAGTGAAAAAAGTGTCCAAGTGGACTGATTAAGTAAGAAATCCTTATGAATAATATGAAATATTACATTACTTTGTATAATCGAATAATTTATTTCATTACTTTAATATTTGTTACAAGGTATTAGTTTATTTACTAATATTTAGTAATATTTAGTATTAGATAATAAATAAATAAAGCATTAAATATTTTTCGACAAGAAAATTAATTTATTTCTAGATTTCAGAAATGAATTTGTGCGTCTAAAGACACATACATAATTTTTCTAAGATACACACAATTATATACATTAATCTGTAAATCTCACAAATCTGCAACAATCATATAAAGTCACTGTACAATGAAATTTTTTTATCAGTAAAATTGTATTATAAATAAAAATAAAAATTTATCGAAATATATTCTATATATAATAGAATTTTATTGTTAAAGTAAAATATATATCGTTTTATATATATATATATATA